CCCTGGTACCCAGAGCTTTGTGGACCCAGCTTCTCACTGAGGTATCTCTGAGTGCCTTTCAGTGTGCCCCCGGCTCCTTCAAGCACCTCTTGATGAGCCCCTCAGAGGGCATTCAGTGCCTTTGGGTGCACCTCTGGGACAGTGCAGTGCCTTTCTGCTCTTCTCTGGGACCTCCAAGTGCCTTTCAGTGTGTGCAGTGGTCTACAAGTGGTTTCTGATGAGCACCATGGGCTTCCACGTGTGTTTCAGGGCACACCTGGGTGCCTCCAAGTACATAGCTCTGATAGTCTCTTGTGTGCAAAGGACACTGGTGCCTTGCTCTTAGCTGCTGGTGGCCTCCAAGGGCCTTACTGTGCTCACCACGGTCCACAGTGCATTTTGGTGCACCTAAGGGGACTCCATGTGTCTCTGTGTTGTCAAGGTGCCTTGCAGTACACCACCGGGGGACTCCGAAGTGCCTTCACATGTCCTTCAAAGACCATTCTGTGCTCAACACCAGTCAACCAGTGCCTTTTGAAGTGCCCCAAAGGCCTCCCATAAGCATTAGGATGTGGCCCATGGGCTCGTAAGTCCATTTGGTGCACCTTGCATAGCCGTGTGCACCTATCTCTGTTTCCCAGAGCTCTAACACTACCTTCTGAAGCACATCTGGATCCTCCAGCTCCCTTTGGCAGCACCCAAGTGACATCTTTGTTCCTTTTAGATGTGCACAGGATGAATCTTCCAAGAGAGCGGGGCTGGAAGAAAGGTCACCCCAGCTTGCAAAGCAGAAGAGTGTTTTTATCAGGACAGTCTGGAATGAAACATGAGCCTGGCCTCAGTGAGCACCCTGGAGAGAATGACACCACCACCCCCCTCACTGGGAAGCCCACCCCCCTTCATCCATGGTCAGCAGCACCCACCGCATACAGATACACCAGCTCTTCATGACTACCGTAAGATGTATATACAGAAACATAGCTTCATTTTCTTCATGGGAGGAGCCTGGACATACAGCTGGATGATGGTGCCGGTGTTGGGGAAGGGGCAGAGCTGCCCAGTCCTCTTGCTGATGGTTTCCACCTGAAGCACAAGCCACCAAGAACCTGGGGGCACCAGCATGGCTCAATAGATACACTCATAGCCCAGCTCCTGTAAAAACACCTGAGGGGAGCTGCCAAGGGTCAGAATCCAGGCTGAGTGCAGCCCTGGACCACAGAGGCCAAGGGGCTCTATCAAGAGGAAATCCCAGTGGCAGTCGGTGTAGAGGTAATTGTGAGGCAGAGACTCCTTGGGGTAGATCAGAGCTAAAGGGTGAGGAACAGGGGAGGGGAACAAGCAGAGCTGATGTCCAAGAGGACTAGCCCCAAGGCTATCACGGCCAAGGCTGGAGCATCTTACCTTGAAGATGTTGATGTGCAGATGTACCAGTGCAGATGACAATGGCATACATATTGACACAGGTCTCGTAGGGGTCTGAAGCAATGGAGGCCAGGCCTAGCAAGGTCTCAGGAGGAGAGCATCCAGGAGATCTTCAGTGCCAACACCAGGTCCAACATGTCCTTCTAGGTGCAGCAAGGGTGGGCAACGGAGAGCAGGCAAGATGGCAACCAGCACAGTCACAGCAGGATGGTGCTCCCAGGGACACAACTGCCAGGCCAGGAATGGCACCGGCGACCTGCTCTGAGCTTTGTTGCTGGGGACCACCAGTGGCTTGTGGTCCTGGCCACCCCAGGTGTGCACTGGCCCTACCGCTCAGCTGAGTTGGTGGAGTGGGACTAAAACCCATGCAGGTCCTGCATGATCTGCTCATTGTTTACCCTGAGGCCAAAGATGTTGATCCAGTACTTGCTGATGGGGATGCTGGATGACTCCGTGGGCCAAGAAGGAAAAGAGAGTTCTGTTGGGTCCCTGCGTGTAAATAATCTTCCTGCTGCTGCGCTGAGGTGGAGCTGTGGAGATCAGGCCGCATATCAGGTACGTGGCTGAAGAACAACTGTAGGCAGGGGAACAGCCCAGCTTGACTTTCTCCCCACCTCTGCCCAGTCAGTACCTTGTATTTGGAAGGTGAAGTCCAGCAGCATGAGCTTCTTGCCTGTGATGGTACTGAAGCAGCAGGCAATGAAGCGGCAGTACTGGCACTCAAGGACATGGCAGGAGGTGCAGCAGCAGGTCAGGCCAGCAGCTGAGCTGCCAGTACTGAGCCACCTCCAGCAGGTTCAGAGCCTCAGAGAGAGACCAGGTTGAGGACATCCTTCTGGAGACAGCTGCCCCCCAGACCTGCTCTGGCAGAGCACTGCAGCCAGGCAGTGCAAGCTGGGGACACCATGAGTTCCCTTAGGGATGGTGACACTGCAAGCCTCCCCCTCCACACCCAGCATCCAGAGGCAGGTGACAAGCTGGAACCAGACAGAACAAGCACAGGGGCAACCAGGGAAGATAGAGAACAAACAAGTTGCCAGGTAGATCTCTCACAGAATCACAGAATAGTTTGGGTTGCAAGGGACCTTTGAAGTTCATCTAGTCTAACCCCCTGCAATGAGCAGGGACAGCTTCGATTAGATCAGGTTGCCCAGAGCCCCATCCAACCTGACCTTGAATGCTTCCAGGGATGGGACATCTGCCACCTCTCTGGGCAACCTGTTCCAGTGTTTCATCACCCTCATTGCAAAAAATTAGTTCCTTGTATCTAGTCTAAATCTGCCCTCTTTTAGTTTAAAACCATTGCCCCTTGTCCTATCGCTACAGGCCCTGCTAAGTAGATTATCCCCATCTTTCCTACAGGCCTCCTTTAAGTATTGAAAGGCTGCAATAAGGTCTCCTCACAGCCTTCTCTTCTCCAGGCTGAACAGCCCCCACCCTCTCAGCCTTTCCTCAAGGGAGAGGTGTTCCATCCCTGTGATCATCTTTGTGGCCCTCCTCTGGACCCGCTCCAGCAGCTCCATGTCCTGCTTATGTTGGGGTCTCCAGAGCTGGATGCAGGACTCCCAGCGGGGTCTGGTCAGAATGGAGCAGAAGGGCAGAATCCGCGCACTCAGCCTGCTGCACACATTTCTTCCAATGCAGCCTAGGATACGATTGGCTGCCTGCGCTGTGAGCACACGTTGTCGGCTCATGTCCAGCTTTTCACCCACCAGTACCTCCAAGTCCTCCTCCACAGGGCTCGTCTCAATCCCTTCGACCCCCATCCTGTGTTGATCCTGGGGGTTTCCCCAACCCAGGTACAGGGCCTTGCACTTAGCCTTGTTGAACATCATAAATTTCATGTGGGTCCACTTCTCAAGCTTGTCCACATCCCTCTGAATGGCATCCTGTCTCTCAGGTGTGTCAACTGTATCACTCAGCTTGGTGTCATCTTCAGACTTGCTGATGGTGCACGCAATCCCACTGTCTACATCACTGATGAAGATATTAAACAGTATTGGTCCCCATATGGGCCCCTGAGAGATGCCAGTCATCACTGATCTCCATCTGGGCATTGAGCCATTGACCACTACCCTTTGGATGCAACCATCCAGCCAATTCCTCATCCACCAAACAGTCCACCCATCAAATCCATATCTCTGCAATTTAGAGAGAGAAGGATGTTACGGGGGACCATGATACCCGTAAATGTAAAATTTCCACTTACTAGAGTGATTGTAATTAACCTAAAGTAGATCCTTGCTGTTTTGAGAAGACAGGAAAGGCTAAGATAAAGAGGCTCCTAAATAACGCTGCTTCGACAAACTTAACTTGTTGTTTTGGGGGGACAGGAAAGCTCTAAGATAGAGAGACTCCTAAATAATGTTACTTGGACAGCTCGGCCTTGGGAGGGCAGATGCACCAAGCTAAAGAGATAAAGAGGCACCAAGAGGGCAACAAGACCGAAGCAAAACAACCTGGAAGGACACTGTATATATGATCTTAGAACTGAGTTTGCACAGAAACAAAGGTCAACCAGCAGACACTGTGATGAAGAGTATAAGCCTTCATCTTAAGACCCCCCTCCCCCAAAGACCACTCAAGGACGCTAACAGACATGCGTGAAAGACATTAACATGTGCTAATTAGTTCTCGGAAAACTCATGAATATGCTAAGCTTTTCTCAGAAATACAATGAATATGTATATTGTGATTGTATTTAACCTGAAATGACAGGGTGTTTGGCACACACATTTGGAGGAGAGATCCCCCTTGTGCCCGGCGCCATAATAAAGAATGCCTGCTTAACAGCCTTACGACTATTGAGTTTTCAGCTCCGGCTTTTCATGGCATCAACTGCGTCAAAAGCCTTACAGAAGTCTGGATAGATGATGTCTGTAGCTCTTCCCTTGTCCACTGATGCAGTCACTCCATCACAGAAGACAAGGTTGGTTAGGCAAATGGTCCCATCAGGCTAAATGGTGTCCCAGCCTGGATACTGGTGTGGAACGGAGACCTTCCTTGTGCTTCCCAGGACAGAGCTGCAGGAACAGCCTGAGCATTGCACTGTGAGCCCCAGAGGGGACACTGATGGGCACAGAGGGTGCAGGACCCAGCCATGCTGCCCTTGAGGGATCATTTGCTGATGTTCTGATCTGTGCTGATGACATGGGCCGCTTTATCCATGTTGGCCCCAGTCACCTCACGCAGGGTGCTGATGGAGTGGGTGCTGCTGGTCCTCTGAGCCAGGAATGAGATGGCAGCCTGGGCAAGGGCAATGTGTGGGACCCTCAACTGCATCTCCTGTGCCAGCTGTAGGATGGGAGCACTTACCAGCTTGGTGAGCCCTGAGGACCACACCTTGGGTTTTGAGCACCCAGTGCAAATAGGTGATGTGCAGGGTTTCTATGGCTTTGTGGTCTGCAGGCATCTCATTGCCACCAAGGAGGACACAGTCAGGGGTCTTCAGGTTGCAGGTGGCCATGCCTTCAGCCAGGACCTCAACAGGACACGGGGGCGCACGAGATGGCATGCGATGTTGCAGCCTTGCCTGCCCTTCTCCTTGTTCTTGCTGTGCATCAGCTGCCATTGAGAGGTGGGCCACCCCCTGCCACCCCCTAGCCTAGCCTGTGGTCTCCCGGAGTCCCTGCCCCCTGATGGCACTGGGACAGGTTGGACTTGGTGTTGAAGAGTTGCTGGATGCTTTCAGCTGCTCGCACCAGCACTGTGTTCTTCTCCAAGTTGGTCAACCACGTGGCCCTTGCTGGGTCGAGAACGTTGATGCCACTGAGGGCTGGGCTGCAAGGGGAGAGGGCAGGGTTCGGCCCCTGGGCAGGAGAGCTGGGTGCTGGCAGTGACACCCTTGCTGCACCTGGAGCCTTGCTTACCTGGCGATGCCCAACAGCTGGGCACATCTGGCTCCCCAGCCCAAGGTACTGTTGAAGGCAGTGCGTGGGGTAGCTGGTGGCTGCGGGGAGAGCAGCGCGTCTGGCCAGGGCCACTCCATGGATGCAGATGTCACTCAGCCCACAGGCTCTCCTGGGGCTGGGGAAGGTGGTGACGGTCCCCTGTCCCAGGCCATGCTGCTCACAGCCTTCCCCCGGCCACCAGCCACCCTGCTGGGCAGGGACCAGCTGGACCCCTTGTTCTGCCCAGGGCCAGGCCACCCAGCAGCCCAAGGGAGAAAACCCCAGGCCCCCTCGTAAAACCAGCTACAAGTTGTGATGGCTGGGCACAGGGTGCTGTCCCCAGGTCCCCCCCCCATCCCCCTGTCCCCAGCACCCCGCAGGCAGTGTCCCCAGGTCCACCACCATCCCCCTGTCCCCAGCACCCCGCAGGCAGGTGCCAGGGACGCCAAACCACCGGGACAAGACACTAGGAGCTGAAAGGCACTGGGTTTATTTTCAAGGATTTAATTGACAGACCTGCTGGGACAGTGGTGCAGGCACAGCAGGGCCAGGCAGGTCCTCAAGAAAGGGACGGCCCAGGCCAGGCTCCCCAGGACCCCATGACAACCC